ATCCACTGAGCTCTTTTCCTATGTACATACAAATTTAATATCTATTTAAAACTGTATGTCAGTTAAAAATAAAAATGTTTCCAATATATAGATCACTCAAAACATATGTATTATGTACAGGACGCATTATTGTCTTATGTATAAAATAATGCATAGTCTGCTATACGCTCCTTGCTTATTTTATTTTACACAGCAGTAAAAAATGTCAGCAGGGTCTTTTTAAAGGCTGCAATACATTTCATTACTCCATTGAAGGACTATTATGTTTTCTCCCATCTTTTTCCTCTTAAAATCTAGTGAAAATTTAGCACAAGAATGTGGGATAAAGCACGAGAGGTGGAATTGCTGATGTCAAGTTACGCAAAAATGTTGATAGAAAGTACCTTCTTAAAAGTTGTTCTGACATTTTCTCAACCCTTTTCTTAATACATTTGCTGATTTGAGGTATCATCAATCTCAAATTATTATCAATACAATGTTGGTATCTCATTGTTTCCATTTGTGTTTCCCTGATTCCTTGTGAGGTTAAGCATATTTTCATATATTTATTAGACATTTGGTTTTCTTCTTCTGTGAATTTCCTTTAGATACCCTTTGCCCATTTCCTTCCCTGTGGAATTGCTTCTCTCTCTCTCTTATTTATTTCAGGGAGCTCTTTGTATATTAGGGAAATTAACAATTAGATGTGTCAAACGTTTTCTCCCAAGCACCTTTGGAAGGCATTTGATGCCTCCAAAGTCCCCTCTCTCTCTTATTTGTGCACTGCCCATCCTCTCTGTTGTCTTCTTTCTTTTCATTTGCCCTTTTGGATAGTCTATTTCCTGTGTTATTTGTGTTACCACTAAACTAGAAGAGAGTAAGGGATATGGAATTAAATATTTGAACAGGGCTTATGACAGCTTCAGTTTAGTTAGAAAGGATATGAAAACTCCTCCCTTAAAGTGTATGGAGGATTTTGTGGGTGTTTCCTGTCTATTCCAATTTTTCATGAAGTGACTTTTCCTTCAAAACCATGAATAATGACTGACTATATATCCCAGTGAGAACACAGAACTCACTGACATACTGGCTGGTGAAAAGTAAAAAAATGCAGTTAGTCATTTGGTTGCTCTAGTGATCAAATATTTCACTAGTTAAAGGTATGGTCAGTTATCAAATATATGAAATATTTATATAACACTCCAAACTAGAATGTTTCCTTTAAGTGGATGCTGTGCTGATTCGTTTTTTCATTTATAAAAACAGAAATCTGTAAAGAGTATTCATTAACTCACAGGGAAAGGACTGGAGCTGAAAGATAGGTCAAAGCAACAAAATCTTGGGGGAAGAAACAGTCTTGAAAGGTCATATCTTTTAGGAAGGCATTTGGATTGCTGGTTCTTGCAGATGTATAGAGGAGGAAGAAGCAAATACTTAATAATATTTTTAAAAACAGTAAATTTTTATGTCAATCCCCCTCAAATAAAAATTCCTGTCCTCTTTCTCCTCCTGTTTTGTGTGTGCCCCGCCATTTATATCTTTCCTTAATGTTTCTATTTTATTCAGACTAAATTGACGGTCTTGTCTTGGTGCTAAACTAACCTTAATGAGGATATAATCTGTATGTATAATCTCTTATGGAGAATAAAGACACGCTGTCATTGTTTATCTAGGGAACAGATTACTTTGCAACTTTGTAATATTAAAAATACTTATTTCTAAAGATAATTGTTACGTTTCCATTGGTAAACTATTATTTTCTGGGAAAACTACACATCTATCATTGTACTCCCCTGTTTTGTTTGCTCTTAAATAATCTGAGAACAAAGCTTTTGATATTAGCTGAATATTGAGTTTTAAGGTTAGGTGTGGTAGAGTCTATCACTTTAAACTTTCATTTTACATCTTTAATGCCTTTTGGTCTTGGCAAGTTATAATTCAGGAAGGCAGAAAAATCAATCTTAGTATGCAAAAGGAAAGTATTTGGCAGCCAAAATAATCAGTATTTATGCAAACTGAAAATTTTCAACACTTATAAAGATTTAAGAAAATGTTATAGGACTGTTTACAAATTAAGATCTATTGCCTCTACCTTGAATCTATAGGGTAGATTTTTATCTTTTTTAATCTAAGAAAATAGCATTATACTTTAAAAAATAGTTTACACTCGAGTGGGCAAATTAATCTTGTCATATAAAATGAGATAGGCTTATCATGTGTTTGAAATTGAAGAAATTATTCTAGTTATATTCTGTCACAATAAACATCTATTACCCCTCTGGCTCTTCTACTCACGTGTCATCTGTTTCTGTTTTCAGGGGTAGGCTTACAACAAGAGCAGGCAAGACTTGGGGCTCAGTCTGTTCCCTCAATAAAAATACTGGTACCATTGGTGCTCATAACGATTCTCCAGTGGTCCTTAGTATGCTCTTCTTTCACAATGATTATACTTTGATATTTGGGCACAAGTGACTAATTAGTGGCATTTTAATAATAAAAAATGATAATGTTATGTCATTTTACAACCAGAGTTAGTTTTCCTACTAATTCTAATTCAGGTTCATTTTCCTTATTTAAAATAGAAAAAAGTTTGGGGCCAGCCGTGGCCCAGTGGTTAAAATTCCGTGCACTCTGCTTTGGTGGCCCAGGTTTGCGGGTTCAGATCCTGGGCATGGACCCACTCCACTCATCAACTATGCTGTGGCGGTATCCCACATACAAAATAGAGGAAGACTAGCACAGATGTTAGCTCAGGGCTAATCTTCCTCAAGCAAAAAAAAAAAAAAAAAAAGAGGAGGATTGGCAAGGGATGTTAGCTCAGGGCAAATCAGCCTCAGCAAAAATAAAAATAAAAAAATAGAAAAAAATTTGCTTGGAAATGGCAAAAAGGAAGAAAAGTGGTTGTTTTGTAGTGCTTCATGAACAAAAAGTTTAAAAACTTCACTAATATATCTTGTTCTCTCAACATATGTTCTTCAGGAATACGAATGGGCTAATTAATTAACTAATTAATTGAACAATTAAAGTCCATTGATTATACGATTTTGTGCAAAGAGGGTTGCATTTGAAGACGAATTTCTACTTTGGCATGTGATAGAGAGAAATAAAATAATCTTGGGTGACATCAAATTAAGTGTGACTAGTTTGTCATCGCTGATTTAACATTTGTCATAGATGCTAACTCTGGATATGTTATAGGCTTTGGTGTGGGGTAGCTAGCATGATGTGGTAGCTGCACGTGTAAAACCTGTGTTCTAACTTTGTGATCTAGTATGCTTTAATTCTATGAGTATTCTGAGTATATTCAGACAAGAGTTTTTAACTATAAGCATAGTTTTGTTTACCCTAAATGTGAACAAAGCCTACCAGGGCCACCTAGGGAAGACAGGATCCTCAAGGACCTATTTAGACAGTTGCTTCTAGAGAAAAACAGTCTTCAGTCGAAGACTTGTCAATCCTATTTTAAAAGATTGATTAGGTAGCTGATTTTTAATTCCTTCTGTCCTCGGAGAAAATGAAAAATAACAGGTCTTCTTCCACTTTAGACTAACCATTCATATAGTTTATGACAGTTAGGTCTCCCATGGGCCTTCTCTTCTCCGGGACAAATTATGCTAACTCCTTCAGTCTGTCCTCATAGGTCCTATTTTTCAACCATTAAATTATCTTATTGTTCTTCCCTGTATCTTTTCCAGTTTCTTCAAAATCCTTTTAAAAATATAAAGTCTTAAATTTGATATCTTTGCATATATTAGATAGGTTAGAACTTCAGGAGGGTATTTATTTCTACCTTCTAAGTCAGAGAGATGGTCACCATGACACAGGTCAGTCGGATAAGAGAGATAAGAAGAAAAAGAGAAGCCAGATGAGTAGTTTAATATTCAAGTCAATGGATTTATATGATCAGAAATAGTAAAAACTATGCCTGGAAAAATGTCATAAGGGTTCTTCATAGGTCCTTTGGGAAGATAGCAAAACACAAAAATTATTATAAAAACAACCAGAGCTGCTTTTGTTTTTTCTTTAACTAAATAACTTGATACCTCTCTTTACCAACTATAATTCTTCAAAGGGAAAGATTAGTAGGTGAACTAACATAATGCCAAATTCAGGACAAAAAATGTGTAATAGAGGAAGATGAGCATAACTAACTCAAGGAAGGGCATAGGAATTCAGCATTAGAATGCCTTCAGCTTAATTAAGAGCTAAAACCACATTCTCAAGCAGATATTAATGCCAAAAGGGGGAATTTGTGAAATGTTACCTAGCAAAGCTTTATATTTTGGTAGTACATGGCCAGAAGGAAGAGTTTGATATTGGCTTTACTGATTTCCATCTGGGTTTACAGCATTGCATTGTCTTCTCTGCAACATCACCTTGCTTTTGGGTGATTAGCATACTGGAGTCATTTCAACCTCTCCATTCCATGAGGGCCAAAAAGGGACCCATAATCTTATAGACTAAGTTCCCCTCTATAGCAATTACTATGAGAGCAAAATTCCATTGCAATAAAAACCTAAAATAAAAGCCTAAACTTTCTAGTCTTTCTTAGTTCAACTTAAGTGCATTAATAATTGAATTTTGTATTTCTTTGATAACTTGAATCCTAAAGTCTTATCTTTGCCCAAAGCAAAATACTGGCATTTACCCTCTTCTCTATCCTGGGTTATGCACTATGAAATGGGGCGAACTGCTTTATAGCCTCCACAAGAGAGAAATTCAGTCACAACAAAAATATAGCACTGTGTTCTTTCCAATATCCTCCTTAGTCAACAATAAATAATAGGGATCACAACAAAGTCAGCTTATAAGAGCTTTAATTCCCCAGATGGAAAGCTTCATGATTCACCCATTGCTGGTTTATTTGCACTTTACGGAGGGATAAAAATATAAGTTGCCCATGCCTGTATTGAAAATCCACAGGCAGATCTCAGAGGGCTCTTGCATCGAATGGTGTGCAGTGGTGAAATATTTATATTTTCACTAACCCCTCTTCGAAAGCTAATGCAGTATGGTCTTACCATTTTTGCAGACAGGACAACATTGCTCTGGTTCATAGACTGGGTTGACACACTCAGGAACTGCGCAGTCTGCTACAACACAGTGAACTTCATTGCTGGGCTCACAGCGACACCATTCACATGGAGAGGGCTAGGAACAAATCTAAAATTAGCCCCTTTTCTCCTATAACTTAATGCTTGCACATTCATATGCTGTCAGAAGAGAAAACATCAGTGTTTATATTGGCTTTACTGTATCAACTCCATTTACCATGAGTATGATCATTCTTCCCCAATGGAAGGCACCCCGGACATCCGAGCCAAGGTGGGTTGCCATGTGCAGCTCAGGTTGCCGTGAGCAACTGGGACACTCATGTACCACTTTTCCTAGGTCTTATGTTCCTACTCCCCAAAGAAATGTTTGGACAACTAATATGTCACCTCCTGGTTTGGCTTCTGGATGCACTGATTGCTCTGCCTTTCTCTGGTAAACAGGAATGATACTGGAACATGTGAAACAAGCGTTTGCCATTTGTCATTTTTCTTCCTAAGAAAGAAAAGGATTACTGAGAAACAAGAAAATGGTAAACGGACATCCTCCTTTGTATGAACTCTTTTTCAAGCTAACCTGGACTCCAAATGGCATTTTCTTCAATGTGAGTTTTAGAGGAGGTTGCATTTGGGATCCAAACATCCAGATACTGCCTCTTGAAAGATTTAATGAATACCTTTTATCTTGCCTGCTTGCTTTTATGAATGAACTAAAATCGGTCGACTTAAAAAGCCACTATTTAAGAGTCAAAGACTCTAAAAATGGAATTGAAAAGGAATTAATTTAGAGGAAAAAATAAAATGCAGAAAACAATTTTTTTGCCTTCACAGTACTTACCAACGACCAATAGTGAGTTTGGGATTTTCTGTTTCTTTTCTAGAAACTGCCTGTCCCACAAATAATCTCGAGCAGTGGCCCCTCTGTGACTTTATCATCCCTTACGAGTTCTAGCTCTCTTTTCTCATGAAACAGAGGTTTAGAATTCTGGAATGAAAACTTGGAGGTCTCAGAAGTTATACAAGATCTAAACTCAAATTAAGCCGTTTGTTTCTAGAGAATTCTGCCTCCAGCCCTATGCTACAGTGCCTTGGTTCTTCACTTCCAAATAGTGTTAATTAAAGCCCTCTGCCTTTGTCTCAGTGGCTGCTGTCCATAATCTCTGTCAGCTCGTTTCTTCTTGAACCTGACACTTTGGGTAATATCAATGCTCCTTGACTCAGGTAGTCTGTGGGAGGGGAAACCTTTCAACTAATTATTTTTAAACTAACTTTATCTTTGCTTTCTGCTTGAAGAATGACAGTCTAGCTTTCAATTAATTATTTTACTTCCAAATTCAGTAGGAACCAGAGAATTAGCCAAAGGGTCTGTGGGGAAAGCATTGCTATTTCTTAACACGGTCAATAAGTTTACTGAAGGGTACAGTAAAGCTCTTTACCACGTGGTGAGTCATGTTAAGTATTTCAGAGGAATCTATTGGGTCATCCCAAGGGCTGGGATTTTCCTGAAGCTCCTCTACTGAATAATCTTAGTAAATTATGCAAAAGGTTTGGTACCACAGCACATTACTTGATGAAGGAAATTTTGAATAAGAAAACATTGTGAGAAATGAAAATTCTTGCTGCTATAGTGCTCCTTATTTTGCAAGCCCCATTACGATAACTTAAATTCCCAAGCAAAATTGTCAGAAGGTGTCCCCCTTTCCTTGGTTAGTTGCAAAGAAGTATTTTTGCACAGCCTTCTGAACAGCAAGGCCTTGGCCTGCATTTATTGTTAATATGAGAGAAAAAAAGGAACTACTAATATCGCTTTCACACCCTGCCCTTCCACAGCCGTGATTATCTGTCCTTCTTGGTTCCCTTCTTGCTGAAGGAGGGGCTATCCGTGCAACTCTAGTGGACTGATTCTGGCATTAAAAGTCCCAAAGAACCCCTAAATTTTCCAATGCAAAATGTTTTCCTCAAAGTAACTGTGGTCTTGGAGAAAGGTTTGTTAGACTGTTAGATTCCCAACACAGGCCAACAAAGAACCATTCTGATTCCGACAATGTTTTTGAACATTATTAACTACTGGGTGTCGTACTAAACATCTTACCTATATCAACTTAATTGTTTCACGTAATAACACCATGAAGGAAGATTTGTTATTATCTCCGCCTCACAGACGAGGAAATAGGCTGAGAGAGGTTCAATAGCTTTCCCAGGTCCTATGGGCAGTAAGCGGCAGAGGCAGGATTTGAATCTAGGCTGCCTAACCACTACACCTTATTGCCACAAATAGCAAGAATCGCTATTCTATGTAGACCTCTCCGAGTAGTTTATTTTCCAATGCTTTGTGTGCTTCTCCATGCAGACCAGATCCACAGGAATAACTCTTAGCCACTGAATAACTGAGTTATAGAGGATAGATACTTCCTGCTAAGAAGGAGAATTTCACTAATGAGGGTAGTTAGTGCATAAAGAGATTGTTATCCAGCTGTAGAGCTTTTTAACTTTCTGCAAATGTGAGTTCGTAGAAAATTGTGGTAGCCTGAAGTTAGGTCGCCAAGAAGCTCACGTTCTTGGGGACCTTGGCATCTTCAAGCCTTGCAGCCTGGCAGCTGCTCTCGTGGGTAGCCGGAAGAAGCACTAACAGATAATGGTCCAGCAAAGACTCTGGGGCATCTGCCCAAAGTCGGTGGAGGCTGGATGTGTGTGCATTGGAATCCTGAGAAATACTCTGAGAAAGAGCTAAGATTACAAAGCTTAGTGATAAAAGTATGCCTGATTTTTTAAGGCCTTTTGAATAATGAGATACATAAATTAGAAGAATAAAAATATCACCCTAGCCATCGGCAGCTTCTAATCCTTCCCTGACTCTGGCTTTATTCAGACCACCACACTCTGTCCCTTCCTGGCCTAGAATCTCTCGTCAGAAACATGTTATTTGCTCTTTTGCTTTCACCCAATTGCTTTTTCAAATTATGTCTCTGTTTCAATCCATTTCTTCTCATCTCGAGCCTCCTTGAGCCCTTTCCCTCCCCCTCTAAACACTCAATCAAATTTAACCCATTGACCTCACTCTAAAGCCCCTTCTGTACTCTCCAGCCTTGAGGATCCTCTTTCCTTTCATAAACACACCAGTTCTAACACCATGGTAGTTCTCTTGCCTAACTTGATTTCCTCCAGTGCCCCTGCCTTCCCCTGCATTCTGAAAAGACATTGCTTAAACAGTGAGAAGTTCCTAGGAGTGAGCAGTGTGCACTTTTACATTAAGTTCAGACTTTAAAAATTCTTCCCACCTTACAACATAAAACTCTGAAAGGTTTGGTGCTTTGAATAAATCTTTGCATCTTAAGCACTGAACTGGTTACAAATTTCCTTTTATCAGGCTCTTCAATGTGAAAACTATAGATTAAATCTGAAAATGTCCCTGTAAAAACTGAAGATTAAACAATAAAGCTATCCTTAGAGGAACAGAGAACCCTGAAACAAGTCCTTGGAAAAAAATTATTCTTGCTGGCTTCTTTCGGAAGAACCAGTGAAATTACGACTAGGACAGGGCTTTTGTCAGCTGGAGATTTGGTAAGTGAGATGATTAAATGACACCATCCTAAAATTGTATACAAGGGAAATCTTTTTCTAAGAAATCTCACAGAACATTTGCTTTCTATGAAAGCTTTGGAAAATAAAGTAATATTCACTATATACAATTTTATATAAATTTTAATTGAAATTAGGATTAGAGGTCAAATTTATTTGTCAATGAACGTATTAGATGACCTGAGTATTGTATGTCTGTTCTGAATCTGTCCACCTCTAGCTTAGTGTTTTTGAACATCTAATGTGGGCCTCTGTTTAAGCAGAAACCGTGCATTTTATCTGTAATTTCTGCTGTCACTGAATACACTCACATGGATAATAAATCCAAATGCTGTCCCAACTGCCCCCAAATTTCAAAGGGGTTTCCTTATATATATATCTATATATATATACAGATATGTATTTATTTATTTTATAATTAATAGAGTAAAAGAGGACTCTTTCTTAAATATGGGTTTAAGTGACTAGAATCCAAATTTTCCTCCTTGGTATTAGAATGGAAACATGGCAATCCACATTATTTTAAAAACGGTTAACTTCTGAAGACCTTGAAACTGAAATCCCAATGTCACTGTTTGTGGTTTTTGAGAATTCTTGGAGAATTGGACAAGGGGCACTGGAATCCTGGAAACAATAGAATGCTCTATAATTTTTTAAAATGGAAAAAGTAGCCTGAGAAGTAGTAATTTAGGTTACTGGGATAACTGAATAATGCCAGAAAAATCATCAAATATGTTCTTTGTGAACATTTGGAAGCTATGGGGTCGTCACTAAAAGTCAACATAGGATTATTAGAACTTATTGCAGACTGGCTGCACAGAGTTTTCCAAATGTTTATAGGAAATGTACATTTATTTTGTATTCTGAATACACCGAGGCTTACTTATCCATACCTGAGGAAAGCCTGGACCTTTGGTCCATATAACAGTACCTAATGGCTTCATTATTTGTGTGGTGCCTGTTACTGGCATTGTTCATAGAGTGCCCGGGAGGAAATGCTCACAGTCTGTAAGGTTTGTTATACAAATTTAAACTTCAAAGGGACAAGGGACACAGCAGTGTTCCGTTTACTATTTTAATTTGGTGAAGTTGAAGATAACAGTATTCTTAGAAGTTGAGGAACTCTAAATTAGGAAAAGTAGAAAAATTATTTAGTTGGCTTTGTGTGGGTGGCTGTGGGATCCCGGTTAAAAGCAAATTCTCCACAGCCATAGTACTTGATTCCTATTCTCAGATGCTTTACTTATTGATTCAGAATCTCGGGAAAATTACATAACCTTTCTGTGCCTTAGTTTCTTACTCTATAGAATGGGAATACCAATGTTACCAGCTTCACAGAGTTATTGTGAAGCACATAAAAATATGTAAGAAATATCATAACATTATTATTATTCACTTGCATACTTATCCCAGTGATGGCTTTCTGAAAAAAATTCAACAAGTATAAAATTGGAAGCACAAGACTATGTTTAAAAGAATATTTAGGTTATTTCTCTTGCTCAAAGTAGCATCTGATTGCAG